TAAACATGATAAAGTATATAAGTAATATGTTTTTTGTGAGTAATATTAATGAATACTGAGCTAAAAACTGATGTATGGATAGAAAAACAAAAGAGCATGTAGGTAAGATAGTTACCGCACTCGGAATAGGTCATCATAGTATTTACAGACCCGGTGGCCTTTTAAAAACCTCGATCGCTACGCTCTCTCGGTCTTCAAATCGCCACCCGGGTCTGTAAATACTATGCAGACCTATTCCTCGTACGGTAACTATTACGTACTCATTAGTCACCTACGGATTAGTTGATATATTAAAGCGAAGTGTCATACTTTCCACTTGACCGAGTATGGAAGTACCGGTGCAAGGGTAGATTTCGCCCACTCGTGAAAACGGTCTGTAATGCGGGTACAGAAGAATTTGTGTACATATATATTGACATGGTTGATCTTGTAATATTATATTTAGATATAAAAAGAAACATATTGTGATATTCCTCCTATCAACAAATGATGTGTAAAATGAAATTAAAAATGAAGATTTGTGTAAGTATTACAATTAGTATTTCTATTAATAGTCATTAAACCTGTTTATCTGGTTTATCCTGTTTATCTGGTAACTTGCACTTTACAATACCGTCCATGAACAGAATCAAACCGAGCCTGCAACATTTTCAATTTTGTTGTGTTGGGCTTTCTTTAGGGATTCTGTATTTACCTATTTTAAACATAGTGACAGTAGAACGTAAACTAGACCACGGGAGGTTCCTTTTCCATTATATGAATATAAATATACGTATTGAGTTTTTTCTCGAGGAACTTGACCTCGACTACCCGCCGTGAGTTTTATAATTTTTCATCTATAACACACACATCATCAATTCATTAAATATCTACCGACAAAACGTTGTTTTTTTAATAGATATATCTACTGTGTATATAAAATAGTAATTTATATACACAGTAGATATAACTATTTAAAAAAAGACGTTTTGCCGGTAGATAATTAATAAATTAATAAGTATGCGTGTGTTATAGATAAAAAATAGTAAACTCATAGCGCGTAGTCGGTCACACTAGGTAGTCGATTAAAAAACTTTTTTGCCATCAAATGCCCATTATATGGACTTGACGGCTTCTCAGAAGCGCACATTGAGTAAACGTGATTATGACTGTATCATAGTCTAGACGACTATTAGTATGTACGAATGTTTAGCATTATTTTTACATCATGCAAGAATCGAAAAAAAATCGAAATTCAATACATCTAGTAAACCGACGGTTTTATACAAAAGACTAGCAAATACTAAGTTAGTGTTTAAATTAGTAAGCATTTACTTAAAGAAAATGGTCGAACAGCGCATTTTTAATGTTTAATTTTGTGAATGCTTACTAAAACATTAATCTGTTCTTAAGATGTCTGTGTATTAAATGATTGTTTTTTTTTTCAAATAAAAAGTGGTGCTCGAATTATAAACCGATGTTTGTGATTATAAAGACAAAAATAATTTAAGTTTAAAGTAAATATCTATAGAAATAAAGACGTAACCTTATTTCATGGAAGTTTTTTGTATTATCCTGTAAAATATGGGTAAAGTAGGGAACATATATTTAAGAAATAACATCGGCCGGAGAGGTGTATATCGGCTATTTAACACCGGTTTGGAGTTTTGATGCGTAGGAATTGACCACAAAGGCCGTAGGGCCTGGTGTTTTTAATTTTGTCGCATTCAAAACGGGACCCAAAACCGTTTGTTAAATAGCCGGTATACACCTCTTCCGCCGATGTTTTTCGATTCGTCCCTCCTAACCACGATATTATTTTATTAAAATAAGCGCGGGGAGGAATGAAAGGAAAAAAAACAAATCACCCTTTTGTGTTTATTTTTTTTTTTTTCAAGCGGAAATAACTTCCGGTGCCGAGTTATTTTATCAAGTTTTCAACTATAAAAACTTACGTCGTATTGTGTCTACATCAGTGCCCCATTTATCATTCGTGTATGTATGAAATAACGTCAGCTTGTTTATGAATGAGTTGTTTACTTAGGATGACGTTATTACGCTGCTTACGGATTGGCGCCGTTTTGTCAAAATATTTATTATCTGATATGGATCTAATATGTGGCGTTTTAATAGTGTATGTGAGATATTATTCCCTGCGGTCTGAAGACCGCGCGTTTAACTTTTGAGGCATGGAGGAGCACGTGACCTGTTTTCGGTATATGGAGGAGCATGTGATCTGTAAACCGTACATGATTGGTTAATTGACCTTTTCGAAAACCTAGCTAAATACCGTTTGCCGGTACGTTTCGGATTTACCTCTAGGGAATTAGTCCGAATTACACCTAATTAACAACAAAAAACTATTACGTGATATTTCTAATTTTCTATAATTATTTTACCGTTTAAGGTGGAAAAACTTGAATGATGTGTTTGAAAATTATCAATGTTTCTTTAATATCTATCTCAAATTTTACAAACAATAAAAATTGTTTAAACTGAAAATCTACAAAATTAAAATATTCGTAGTGGCATATGCCATACTAAATAGAGATATTTTCTGCGTAAACTTGTGTGTTTACTTTTTTTTTGCTCGGAATTATTCAGAAAATGGTACTTAATCATTTTCTTACAAAGAAATAATTGTTTTACTTGTATGTTCGACCTTCTCCGGTCTCAGGTCTCTAACGGTCACCAGTTTCCAAAGACCTTCTTCTATATTGATCGATTATTGTCAACTATATTCCTGATACAAACGTTTATTTATTCCCCCAAACAATGTTGATAATAGTTAAATGAAATATCTTTATATCATTAAAAATGTTCCCCGCAGGAAACCATTTTACTTGTTTCGGTATTGTATGAGAAGAAATCATTATACGAACTGAAAATATAAATAAAAATGCTTTTATTGTTGCTTAAAAAGACATTATATAACTATGCAATCGAGGGTGAAAACATAACAACGCATATTCAAGTAGTCCCTAACCGGTGTTTATTGGCAGTTTAACACCCGTTTTTTTCCTTCTCTGTCTACAAACTCCTCACACTGATTACCTCCCTTGGCAGAATTGTATCTCTGTACTGATAAGGGGAGATCAGTGCGTAGGAGATTGCTTTGTCTATAGTGACAAAATCACGTGAGTGTTAGAATTGAAGTTTAAAGTAAACTACTATACTGTAGTAAAAAAGGAAAAAGAAAGTTACAGTTTTAAAAACATTTTGTTGCACAAAAACTTAAAGATCCTATATATTATGTAAATTATTTACACAATTATCAGAAAGGTTATTTGATGGTAAATTCGATAATTTTACGGAAGAAATGATTGATAATACAGAAGGTCTTTCTAAATATTACACAATGGTACGTCATCAGTAACGCATGATCGGTCACGTGACCTTTGTTTTAAAGAAAGCAGAACAGAACAGAACAGATCTTTTATTTCTGATTTGTACATAGTACATCATCATATACATAACATAATAATATTTGAGTAACATGTAATTTTCAGTGCAATCAATATAAAGAAATTAATTAAATAAATAATATAAAGAGATTAATAATTGTAATTGTAACAATTGTCATTGTTCAGATATTTGTTATTAAGCCTCAGTTAAGTGAGGATGAACATATTTAAGAAGAAAAATCAATATAAAACTAATTTTTAATCTATCATTAAACTTTAATTTTAATAAACTAAATTTTGATCTATCATTGAACATTATTTAACATTGTAGTTCTAACAGTCATAGCATTTTCGTAATATAGTGCTAAATTACATAGCTCATTTTTATTATTACTTTGCAGCAATGCAATAAATTTGTACTTACTTGGGTTAACAAAATAATATATTTTAATAAAAAAGGTACGAACACATGTATAACATGGACATATAAGAACAAAATGAAATTCATCTTCTAAGTCTCTTAAAGAACAACATTGACAATACCGTTCATTTCTTTGTATTATATTTCTGGCATATCTACCAGTTTGTATTCTTAAGCTGTGTGCAGAAGTTCTTAATCTAGTAATAAGTCGTCTCAAATGATCAGGCAATATATCTAAATAATTTTCGTAACAAAAACTAATTTTACACACATTATATAATTCCAATACAGAACTTGTTTCTTTAGATACATGCCACCCCTGTATAAAACTCAACTCAACTAAACTCAAATAATTTTATTGCGTTAAACATACAATATATGTTTATAGCACATACAACATAACAATAGGCAGAAGACAATCAAAACAATCAATTATCCGTTGTCTAAATATCGGGATAAAGTTTTTAAATACAATATCATGTGGGTTATTCCAAACATCTGAAAAACCATAGTCACACAAAAGCTTTTTAACATAGGCTACCCAGTTACATAATCCTTTATTACAATCATTTAATGAGCGTAAAATAATATTGTCTGTGTGCAGCAACTTAAACCAATATTTAACAATGCGTACATAACGGGATATGAACAAAGGATATCTTCCCAACTCTCCATATACACTAACAGTACAGGTAGTATTTCTTACTGACAATATATTTTTACAAAATTTTAAATGTATTCTTTCAATTTGTTTTGATTTTGTAAATCCCCATATTTCTGACGAATAACTCAAAATTGAGCCAACAAAAGAATCAAATAGCTGACATAATAACTTTGGTTTAAAACTATACTTTTTACAATTTAAAAACAAAACATTAAGCGCCTTTAAAGCTTTACCTGCAATGTATTCCTGATTTAAAGTAAAATTTCCGGTGTAATTGAAAACTGTTCATAGATAATTAAAATCATTCACATTTTCAATATCATTACCATCATATGTCCAAAACTCATTTCCAGGTAAACCGCCGTTTTTCCTAAATACAACAATTTTAGTTTTATCTGTATTTACTTCTAATCCCCAACTTTTACAATATTCATATAATTTATCTAAATGCATTTGTAATTCTTGAGGCGATTTTCCTAATATAACCATATCATCAGCAAATAATAGTAAAAGTAAGATAATTTCTTCTATATCAAGTCCAGAACTTATGTTATCTTGTAAAAATAATTCTAGGTCTTCTACGAACAGAGAAAAAAGTAGTGGCGACATTATCCCCCCTTGTCTTAAACCTACAGCATACTCTTTAAAGAAAGCAGCTCATCAAGCACAGTAGGTTTTTTTTATATAATTAGCTCATTTGTCACAACGTGAAAAGGTGAGCTTTTTGTGAATCACTTTTCGTCCGTCCGTCCCGTCGTCAGTAAACTTTTTTACTTTAAACGACTTTGCGACCGGCATGGGATCGGACGGGCCTGCGCGTCCGCGCGGTCCTGGTCGGGATCCTGATATACAAGGATGTAATATACAAGGATGTAACATACACTTAGTGTTTTTTCCAACGATACCTTTGAGAATAATATTATTCTGAACGTCGAAATTGTTTTGTTATTAATTTAAAGACAATCTTTGACGTTTTCCCTCCTATAGACGGGTGTTTGACGGCTTTTTGTCCCCCTCCCTTTTGAGGCCTCCAAACAGTGAAAATGCCCTTTTTAGGCCCCAAACATTGTTTTTCGTTTTGAGAAATTTGTTTAAAGAAGAGACCACGTTTTTCAGCGCCGTCCCTCCATCCAAATGTTGCATCAGGGGGTTGCCAGAAGGGAAATGTCCCCTTCTCGTTGGGGGGGGGTGGTTGAATGGGGGGCGGTAGTCCCCTCATCGCGCAAGAAAAGTTTGGACATGTGACAGGCTCAAAATGGCCCCAGGTCGATCTTAGGGTAAACAAGTAACGGACGCTGAAAAAGCCTTTTACTCTATTTCGATTCATTGAGAAGTTGCAGGCACTTTGAAATCAGAATTGATGGGAAAAGAACAAATGCAAAATAGTGATTTTGAAGACCTTCCCCTGTTGTCATGGTAACAGGAAATTTACAATTAAGCATGCTGTTACAGAAGCTATAGTCTATTAACATTTGTGCCAAGTTTCATTAGTATTTGACGCTTTTTCATAGTTTATAGCAGTTTGAACTTGTTAAAGGAAGGCTTTTCAATGAAAAAGGCCAATTTTCGCAATATGCTCATGGGGTAAAAGGTTCAGAGATGTAAAAAACATTGACGCTGACAATGCACCTTCAGCAATTTTTATGACTGTTTTACTCAGAAAGTTTTATGAAATATAATTATATAAAATGTAATCCTACTCCACTCGACTTTCAACACGATCCTTCTTAGAGAGCCTTATGACGAAAAATTCCCTAAATTTACTGAAATGGAGTGCCTGTTTTCAAAGTTTCAAAATTGTTCTTTTTTAAAAAGTATAGTGGTTAATTATGCGAAATATTAAATACGTTACCGTTTAGTTTTAATGTTATTGTACTTTGAAAATGTAAAGTACAGTAAAATGCCACCTAACCATATTTATTATTGGATTTAGCATTATTTAGCCAAAAATACCTAAATTAATTAAACACTTAAAATTGAACTTTTTCTATCTTCGCAAAAGGGATATTGAAGATACATAAATTATATTAAAAGTAAAAAGACATTGGCTTATTGAGGCTTGTACCCACGGCCCTAAGTGCCTATTTGAATACTCTTTAAAACGAAAGTTATATATCCTTAAATTTGACCGACTTGTTATACGTTACATGAGCGATAATATACCTAGATTTATATCATTCTGTGTATGCGTGATTGTGTATCGTGTTACAGCCGGTTTAAAAGGTTTAAGGTAGCACTCCACACTAAATTTCAAGTTTCTGCCGTCAATGTCCTACAAGCAATATGTCTGATAAATCTGATCCCAAACTACACAACCTGGAAAAAGAAAACACATTTTGTTAAGAACATATATGTCATACCATTGCAAATCTGTAATGAAATCATCCCATGTGCGACAGTCAGGCAGTTAAAAAAAATCCAATTCTTTCCGTTAAAGCCAAAAATCTATAGTGGTCCGAGACCGAAAACAACATTTTTCATCCCTCCGGCAAAAAATACCTGCAAATATACGGCCTACAAAAACTCTGTCACTGCTTTAGCAACTCCCTATGCCTGCAAAATATCACAAAGAAATAGGTGCTTGGCCTTTTAGATTTTTAGCTATTGCTGAAAGTTTGTACCCCCCTGTAAAATTACTTGTTTTCACCGTGCATGCTGTTTAAAAGCAATGTTTACAAACAATGGCGACCTTGACATCAATAATTATCAGCATGTGATTTCTAACCATGTTTTCGAATTTGCCAATGATCATATTACATGTCACAAAAAAATATTTCATGCTGAAAATGCATTTTAAAGACAACCAGTCATTTAAATCCACAATAGTCACTATATCCATGGCCATTCGAAGCTGCGGCTTCATTTAGTGTGGTGTGCTGCCTTAAGGTAAAAACGATAGTTTAAAGCTAAAAATAGATTTCATAGTGTTTAAAGCTCTCCGTGCGTATGTACATACGGTATTACGAAAGGAGGGGAATATCCATCAAAAGTATGTGTATCTTAATTTCTTAGTCTCTCTTGTAGTGAATCAAATGGATAAATAATGTAGTGACAGACAGATTAATGAGCGTGTATCTTATTAAACATTGGCATACTACGTTGTCAATCTAAAACTTCATTTATAGGCACTTTACTTTATAAGAGACAAATCACTGATGTATGAAGGGATTTCAGTAATTCTCTTTTGGTAGCTAGAGGCTATGATAAGCTTAGTTAAAAACAACTGTAGACTATCCACATTCCTAGTGCCACACTAAATTTATGGATATAATTTACACATTTTTCTGTACTATTGCCCTGTGGACTTCAACAATAATGATATCAATAAAGCCCCTCTAATCAATATTGTGAAGATAACACATTTAAAGTATTATTGGGTGATACTATATAGGTTGTTTAGCTGACATTTGCCATTTCCCAGTAGAACTATCATTTATTATTCTTGCACCAAGAGGTAAAATACCACAACTGATTCTCCCCTAACTGAAAGAATATTTGAGTTCATTCAAAAATATTGTTGCTTTTGCGGTGCCCTTTCTAACTTTAACGTAATTAGGTCCAATTATATTTTTTGGGTCAAAACTAGCCTTGTCCTTGGGTCAGTTTATTGTAAAACTATTTTCTCAATTAAAACAAAGGTTAAAGCATATATTGGTTATTATTGCAAATTCAATCACTCCCAAGTTCATTCGAATCATGATTGACTTTGCGTACCTTTATTGGCGTCGGCGCCGAAGCTGGACGCCCTTTATGGAATGAAATCAGATTTTGTGAAAGTGCAATTGCAACATCGTTTCGTCGGTCATAATAGCCGATCATTCCGATTGGAATGATGGTATTTGATTATCAAAAATGAAATGCCGCGAAACGGTCATCCGTGTCACTCTATGGTAATAAATAACAAACTGGAAATTTTGCAGGAAAAACAGGAACGAAACAGAAAAAAATAAGTTTGCCATTTTTACGAACTGTTGTATCATAGTATTATCATTTTCAAATTGTCTTTTCTCTAGGTTTTTTCCGGTTTTCTTTTTTACGCTCCTGATATTTTTACCGTGAATATTTTAATAGACTTAGTTCATAACTTTAAATGTCGATTATATTTTGACGTTGTGCGACAGTTAACAGGTCAAGAAGTTATATACTATAATAATAAACCTATTTGCTGTTCAAGTCTATATAGCTAAAATTGACCCTGATTTCCCGGATTTATCTGTTTTATATTTTGTTTGAAGGCAATCGATTTTAAGGTAGTTTGCGTGGAATATTGATAGGAATATAAACACACTCATTGGTCAGACTAGGTTTTTTTGAGGTAATTCATTAAAATAGCAGATTTGCCTCCCAATAAATCAATGGACAGACTTTGTTCAATTTGACTACTATTTTGTATGTTCCAAAGAAAATACCACATGAACTTGAAATTCTATCAAATAACCAATATTAATGATAATATCCCAAAATACACCCCCAAATAGTGTAAATAAACCTTAACCATATAGGGGTTTATTTTGGATATTATAAACCTGTATATTTTGGATATTATCGTAAATATTGATAGAATTTCAAGTTTCTGTGACCGCCTATATGACTGAAATACTGTTGGGGAAAAGGAGTAAAATGAAACAAACAAACAAACAAACAAACAAAACGTTCCTGTGAGAAAAACATTTAATATTCTAATCTCAAGCATGCCTACCAAAGTTCATGATGAACAAGTCTTTCGTCTTCCTATTCATGAATGATATACGATTCTTGTATATGAAGTGTTTTTCAGAATATCTGGTCATCAGATGTCTATAAGTTCATCTTCACTTGCTGCATTTCTTGCTTGAACGCCCTTTGATGCTTTGCATCAATGCTTTTCTTGTTTTTCGTGTTTGGTATGTTTCATTGTCTAATTAGCCAGATATCAGTTGATATCAGTTGATTAAGATTGTTCTACCTCGAAACCAATTTCTCTTCTTTTAAGTTTTTTTAATCATATACACAATAAAGTAATGGTCGCTAAAATGTAATAAAGACTTGGTCGCTAAATAAATATCATTAAGTCTTGGTCGCAAAATAAAATTCACTAAGTCTTGGTCGCTAAATAAACATTATAAAGTATTGGTCGTCATTTAGTCTTGTTTGATACTCTACTACATTGTACTTTAGAAATTATCGTAGATACAAAATAATGACGATTGTTCATTTTATATGAGATTTTGTTCCACTTTGTATTAGATTCTATCTATGATTATTTTAAAGTTTTTTTCATCGAATTTGTTAAAATGAAATTTGTTTATTTCATTTAGTGTTCATTAAATGGCGCCCGCTCCACTTTAATAACAATAATTGATTTAACCGAATGCTTTGACCATAATTTTAATTTCTATGTGAGACCAATAAAATCAGATTTATGACTATACAACTTAACAAATCTAATGAGAGTTTTCCTGTTAAACTATTTAAATTGAAGACACTCTAAGCACTTTTTTGTTATTGAATACTTATGTGGATATTTAAAGATATTGTATGTTGTGATTAAGGATGAAACAATGTATATGTTTCGCTTTGTTTACCCTTGCCACCGGAAATAAACCATATTGACGAGCATGAAAAGTGAGTGATTCGTCCGGGATAAGGATGTAACAACTCTTTAGTGAAAATTTATATATGTATATAATTATTTTCTAAAACAATTTCCAAACATCCAAGAATATGTTAAATATGTACTGCAAAATGTTCATACGTATTATAAGTATTCACTAAAATATATGCATTCATTTTGTATTGAAAATTGGCTAAGACATTATGGAAAAATAAATTTTAATAACCTGCCTTTATTTACATGAAATGTAAAATTGGTAATATCTGTACAAATGATGCTTTTTGGAATTTACAATTTTCATAAATCTTCATTAGAGCGTCATATTTATGATAAAAGCAATTAAAAAATCAGTTAAACAGTTATCGTAAGAACAAAAGATAATGATAATAATTATTGTTCATGTTTTATTGTCCCCGCCTTTTCGAAGAAAAAAGAGGATATAGAAATAGGCTCCGTCCGTCTGTCTGTCTGTCTGTCCGTCCAGGCTATTTAAGAGAAGTAGGAGGCCATCTAACTGTAAACAAAACAAAAGAGAACAATAGATTTCATTCCGTATCAATAGAATAAGCGGCCATGGCCCTCTATTAAACAAAAGAAAATAACAAAAGAAATTGCCCCTTAGTCTATTTAAGTGGCATGTCCGTGGGTCCGAGCAAACATTTTCGGTTTAGGGGCTATATAACAGTAAAGAGAACAAAAGAGAACAATAGGTTCATTCCGTGATCAAAGGGTTTATGGGCTAGTAGCCCTTAACCTTTTACCCCATGAGCAGATTGCGAAAAATGGCCGTTTTCACTGAAAAGCCTCCTGTATCAAGTTCAAACTGCTATGAAACTATGAAAAATGCTTCAAAACAGATGAAACTTGGCACAAATGTTGACTACACCATAGCTTCTGTAACAGCATGCTCAATCGTAAATTTCCTGTTACCATGGCAACGGGGGGACGTCTCAAAATTGCCAAAAATCACTATTTTGCATTGTTTTTTTCCATCAAAACTGATTTCAAAGTGCTGCAACTTCTCAATGAATTGAGATAGAGTAAAAGACTTTTCAGCGTCGGCTACTAGTTACCATAAGATCGACCTGAGGCCATTTTTAGCCTGTCACATGTCCAAAATTTTCTTGGCGTCCCCCTTCAAACCCCCCAAACAGAAGGGGGCATATCCCCCTTCTGGCAACCCCCTGGTGTAACATTTGGATGGGGGACGGTGCCTAAAAAGTGGTCACATTTTTTAACAACATTTCTCAAACGAAAACCAGTGTTTGGGGCCTAAATAGGACATTGTTTCACTGTTTGAGGGGGGGGGGCAAAAAGAAAACCCCTAAACCCAAAATGTTGGAACGTCCGTCTGTCCGTCCATCCGTCACACTTTCGTGTCCGGTAATTTATCAAAGGAATTTGAAATAACTTGGCAAAAACGTTTGTTCGAATAAGACGATGTGTCATGCGCAGCAACCAGGGTCAATGTCGCACTTGCTCATTCAAGGTCAACATTGTCTATTTGAGGGTAAATGTCGTGTCCGGTCCATAACTTTCTTAATTTTGAAGGGATTTTATAAATACTTACCACAATTGTTCACAATAATGAGACGATGTGTCATGCGCAACAATCGGTCACATACCTCCAAGGGCAAGGTCACACTTGGAAGTCAAAGATTAACATAGTCTGTTATAGGGTATATTTTGTGTCCGGTCCATTACTTTTTAATAGATCAAAGAAATTTGAAAATACATATCACAAGTAGTCACAATAATTAGACAATGTGTCATGCGCAACACCTGTATTCCTACTTCCAAGGTCAAGGTCACACTTAGAAGTCAAAGGTTAACAGAGTGTGTTATATGGAATATTTTGTGTCCCGTCCATAACTTCTTCATAGATCAAGGGATTTTGAAAATACATATCACAAATAGTCACAACGATAAGATGATATGTCATGCGCAAAACATAGGTCCCTACCTCCAAGGTCACACTTAGAGGTCAAAGATTAACATATTCTGTTACAGGGTATATTTTGTGTCCATTCTATAACTTCTTATAGTTCAAGGGATTTTGAAAATACTTGGCACAAATAGTAACAATATTAATATGATATGTCATGCACAACACCTGCAACCCTACCTCTAAGGTCAATGTCACACTTAGAGGTCAAAGCTTAACATGATAGATTTTAATTGTTTTATTTTATTTCTTTAATAAATTTATTGTTGCATGTGTAGATCAAGCATTGATCATCATTTTAGACTAAAGGTCTTGAGATCCATACACCAATCTTTTGAAACAGCACAATTTTATGCTTTGTATAAAACTTCCCTGAGGCGGGGACGTTGGTAACTCTGTTACAAATTCTTGTCATTATTTATCGATCATTGTTTTACCAAAATTCAACAAATAGGGAATAATTGTTATCCCAGACTTCAATAAATGAGATTCAATTTAGTTCTATATTTCTTTTACTAGATATTTATTTAAATTCATCACATAAAATGGTTATTGAATCACTTATATCTTTAAAATACAGTTATTGTTATTTTTTTTAAATGAGTTAAATTAAAAACGTCTTAATATGAATAATTTGACAGAAACACAATCTGACAACAATTTTAAAATATCGATATAACTTACATAAATTGTATATATATCATGATTGCGATTCAAGCATAACTACATGTATAATAATGTGTTTAAAGCAATTGTTTTTTATTTTATAAAATAACTTGTACATTACAGATGTGGCTATAATACAGATGTAATAAGTCAAGAAGTAAACAAAATGGCAACCGGAGGTCAACCACAGACGCCAGACAACCGTATATTTTTGTTTCGGTTACAAATACTAGTCATTGATGGTGGCCTTCTGGTTTTGAGAAATATAATGGACCAGTCCCTGACATCTCAATGCATAACGTTCAGTGCGTGCTTGAATCTAGAGAAGTCAACAATAACACGTTTGAAAAGCCGCGGCGTTATAACCCAGGTCCAATATGACGTGTTGTTTCCAGCGGGTGGTAAAGTCCCAATTTCGTCAGATTTGGACATCACGCTGATTATTTGTCTTCTTAGAAACCTGAAATGTTTTGGATTAAATAAAAAATTTGACTGGAGGGCAACACCAGCACCAACCGATGTAACGATGGAAGCAGACATATGTCGGTTAAAGGATTTCCGAAATAAAGTAAGTACATTCGAAATGCAATTTTTAAATTCCTGCCTTGGCAATATAGAAGAATAAAATAATGTATATATTGGCAATATAAATATCTACGTATATTTAAAGTAATGAAATTCTGCAGAAGTTTAACTTAAAAATAATTTAATCAATCATAATATTTAAAAACACATATAATAGTACAACATTAAATATTGCCTAGTTAAGAACTTATTCGATGCATATCTTTACAGCAGCTGCGAAGTCATGCTGAAAAGGTTAAAACATGAACATCTTAAACCTGGATATTTTATTTATTTTTTATTTATATCATGAAATAATCCATCACGGTATCACGCTATCAAGAATCAATCTGAGACAATACTGCCGTCAAGAAACAATCCGAGATAATAAGCCTTCAAGAAACAATCAAAGGTAATACAGCCGTCAAGAAACAATCTGAGATAATACTGCCGTCATGAAACAATCCGAGATAATACAGCCTTCAAGAAACAATCAAAAGTAATACAGGCGTCAAGAAACAATCTGAGATAATACTGCCGTCATGAAACAATCCGAGATAATACAGCCTTCAAGAAACAATAAAAAGTAATACAGGCGTCAAGAAACAATCTGAGATAATACTGCCGTCATGAAACAATCCGAGATAATACAGCCTTCAAGAAACAATCAAAAGTAATACAGCCGTCAAGAAACAATCTGAGATAATACTGCCGTCATGAAACAATCCGAGATAATACAGCCTTCAAGAAACAATCAAAGGTAATACAGCCGTCAAGAAACAATCTGAGATAATACTGCCGTCATGAAACAATCCGAGATAATACAGCCTTCAAGAAACAATCAAAAGTAATACAGGCGTCAAGAATCAATCTGAAATAATACTGTCGTCATGAAACAATCCGAGATAATACAGCCTTCAAGAAACAATCAAAGGTAATACAGCCGTCAAGAAACAATCTGAGATAATACTGCAGTCATGAAGCAATCCGAGATAATACTGCCTGCAGTCAAGAAACAATCCGAGATAATTCTGCCGTCATGAAACAATCCGAGATAATACTGACATCATGAACCAATCCGAGATAATACTGCATGCAGTCATGAAACAATCCGAGATAATACTGCCTGCATTCATGCAACAATCCGGGACAATACTGCCTGCAGTCATGAACCAATCCGAGATAATACTGCCGCCATGTTACAATTCGAGATAATACTGCCTGCAGTCATGAAACAATCCGAGATAATAGTGCCTGCAGTCATGAAACAATCCAAGATAAAACTGCAGTCAAGAAACAATCCAAGTAAACACTGCCTGCAGTCATGAAACAATCCGAGAGAAAGACTGCAGTCATGAAACAATCCGAGAAAATTATGCCTGCATTCAGGAAACAATCCGAGTTAATACTGTCTGCCATCATTAACCAATCCGAGATAATAGTGCCTGCAGTCATGAAACAATCCGAGATTATACTGCCTGCAGTCAAGAAACAATCCAAGATAATACTGCCTGCAGTCATGAAACAATCCGAGATAATACTGCAGTCATGAAACAATCCGAGATATCCGACATAATACTGCCTGCCGTCATGAACCAATCGGAGATAATACTGCCTGCAGTAATGAGACAATCCGACAGTCAATAAACAATCCCAAATAAAAATGCCTGCCGTCAAGAAACAATCCGAGGTAATACTGCCGTTATGAACTAGTCTGAGATAATACTGCCTGCAGTCATGAAACAATCCGAGATAATACTGCCTGCGAGATAATATGCCTGTCATGAAACAATCCGAGATAATACTGCAGTCAAGAAACAATCCAAGATAATACTGCCTGCGGTCATGAAACAATCCGAGATAATACTGCAGTCATGAAACAATCCGAGATACATTGCCTGCAGTCATGAACAATCCGAGATAATACTGCCTGCAGTCATGAAACAATCCGAGAAAATATTGCCTGCAGTCATGGACCAATCCGAGATAATACTGTCTGCAGTCATGAAACAATCCGAGATAATACTGCCTGCAGTCATGAAATAATCCGAGATAATACTGCCTGCAGTCATGAAACAATCCGAGATAATACTGCCTGCAGTCATGAAACAATCCGAGATCAGGGATAAAACTGCAGTCAAGAAACAATCCGAGATTAAACAAACGGATATAATAGTGCCGTCATTAAACAATCCGACGTAATTCTGTAGTCATGTAACAATCCGAGATAATACTGCAGTCATGAAACAATCAGAGATAATCTTGCCTGCAGTCATGAGCCAACTCGATATTATACTGCCTGCAGTCATGAAACAATCCGAGATGCTACTGCAGTCAAGAAACAATCCGAGACTGCCTGCCCTCATGAAACAATCCGAGATAATACTGCCGTCATGAACTAGACCGAGATAATAACGCCTGCCGTCATAAAACAATCCAAGATAATACTGCCTGCAGTCATGAAACAATCCGAGATAATACTGCCTGCAGTCATGAAACAATCCGAGATAATACTGCAGTCAAGAAACAATCCAAGATAATACTGCCTGCGGTCATGAAACAATCCTAGATAATACTGCAGTCATGAAACAATCCGAGATACATTGCCTGCAGTCATGAACAATCCGAGATAATACTGCCTGCAGTCATGAAACAATCCGAGAAAATATTGCCTGCAGTCCTGGACCAATCCGAGATAATAATGTCTGCAGTCATGAAAAATCCGAGATAATACTGCCTGCAGTCATGAAACAATCCGAGATAATACTGCCTGCAGTCATGAAACAATCCGAGATCAGGGATAAAACTGCAGTCAAGAAACAATCCGAGATTAAACAAACGGATATAATAGTGCCGTCATTAAACAATCCGACATAATTTTGTAGTCATGTAACATTCCAAGATAATACTGCAGTCATGAAACAATCAGAGATAATCTTGCCTGCAGTCATGAGCCAACTCGAGATTATACTGCCTGCAGTCATGAAACAATCCGAGATGCTACTGCAGTCAAGAAACAATCCGAGATAATACTGCCTGCCCTCGTGAAACAATCCGAGATAATACTGCCGTCATGAACTAGACCGAGATAATAATGCCTGCCGTCATAAAACAATCCAAGATAATACTGCCTGCAGTCATGAAACAATCCGAGATAATAATGTCTGCACTCATGAAACAATCCGAGCCTGCAGGCATGAAACAATCCGAGATAATACTATCAGCAAGAAACAATCAGAGATAATCTTGCCTGCAGTTATGATACAATCCGAGATAATATTGCCGTCATGAAATAATCCTAGATATAAATACCGTCATGAAATGTTCCGTGATAATACTGCCATCATGAAATCATTCGAAATATTACTGCCTTCATGAAACAATCCGAGATAAAACTACCGTCAAGAAAACAATCAGAGCTAATACTACAGTCATGAAACAATCCGAAATATTACTGCCTTAATGAAACAATCCGAGATAAAACTGCTGTCATGAAATATTCCCAGATATTACTGCCTTCATGAAACAATCAGAGATAATACTACCATCATTAAACAATTCTTGATAATACTTCCTCAATAAAACAGTCTGAGATAATAATGCCATCATGAAACAATCCAAGATAATACTGCAGTCATGAAACAGTTTGCGATAAAACTGCTGACATCAAAAAGTCTGTGATAATACTGCCGTAAAGAAACAATCCGTGAAAATACTGCAGTCAAAAATTAATCACATATATTCCTGCCACCATTTAACAATCTGAGCTTATTCAGTCGCTATGTAATACTCTGAATTATAACTGACGTCATAAAAAATCCGAATTATTACTGCGGTCATGAAACAATCCGAGATAATACTTCCCATATGAAACCATCCAGGATAATACTGCTGTCATAAAACAATCCTAGATAATTCAGCCGGCAAGAATCTGACCTGAAACTGAAATCATGGAAACATTCCGAGATAATACTGCCGCCATGAAATATCCCAAGATAATACTTCCCTTATGAAACAATCAGAGATAATACTTCCCTCATGAAACAATCAGAGATAATACTTCCCTCATGAAACAATCCGAGATAATACTGCTGTCATAAAACAATCCTAGATAATTCAGCCGACAAGACAACAATCCGACCTGAAATTGACGTCATGGAACAATCAAAGATAATGCTGCGAACATGAACTAATCAAAGATAATACTGTCGTTAAAATGAATATTTTTTATAATACTGCTGCCATGAAATAGTCCGAGTTAATAATGCCGGGATGAGACAATCCGAGATAATACTGCCGCCAAGAAACAATCCGAGGTAATACTGCCCTCATAAAACAAAATAAAGATAAATACTGCCGCCATGGAATAGTTCGAAATTTTACAGCCGCCATTAAACAATGCCAGATATAAAACAATCCGAGATAATATTTAATCATGAATTTGTCCGAGATAATACTGCAGTCATGAAGATATCCAATATTATACTACCGTCAGGAAACAGTCCGAGATATAATCGATATCATGAAACCATTCGAGATAATACTGCCATCATGAAACAATCTGAGTTAATACTGCTGTCATTAAACAATCCGAGATATTATTGTCGTCATGAAACAATCTGAGATATTACAACCGACATGAAATAATCCAAAATAATACTGCCATAAAGAAATAATCTGATATAAAATTGCATTCATGAAATGATTGGAGATAATACTGCAGTTATGAAATAATCTAAGATAATACTGCATTCATGAAATAATCCATCATAAACTGTTGTCATGTAATTATCCGAGATTTTACTACCGTCATGAAATAAATCGGGTTATACCTACAGTCATGAAATAATTCGAGATATTACTGCCATCATGAAACATTTCCAGATATTACTGCATTCATGAAATAATCCGAGATAATACTGTCGTTATGAAATAAATCGGGATATAAGGGTGGGGTTGCTTTTGTTACATTTGATTCGGTGATTTGAGCTCTTATTTAAGGTGAATCATAATTTAGTTTTTATTTCAGATAAGTCACATATCAACAACGACTGCAATACAACACACTGATTTTACAGCTTGGTGGAATGAGATTGAACAGGTGAGCACATTTCACTTTCAGAGAATTATTATTATTATCATTATTATAATTATCTTTGTAACCTTTTTTTAAATTCATTTTTAAATGTAGAAAGAGTAAATTAAAACGGTAAGGCATATGTTCTTAAAAAAGTAAACATTTAATGGGATATTAAATTCAAATTTAATGATATAATCCATATAAACGTATTAATGTTTGACGCAAAATGTACGTCGAAACAAGCAAATTATTTCAAACGAGCCGATTCCCCCCATATAGACATTTGAGCGCACAATTTGATCTATGTAAGAATTTCAAATTTTATTATTTTAGACTTGACATCCTCAATGGATTTCCTTTAATTGTAAAATAATTTTTTGTAAAATTTTGGAAATCTCCAAACACGATGTGAATGATTTTGACTTATCTCTGCGAACGCTTGGTGTATTTCGACTTTAAGTGTCAATACTTTAAAAGCTTTATGATTTTCAGGTGTCGAGTATCTTAAGTGTTTCACGATTTTCAGTTGTCAAGTACTTTCAGTATTTCTCGATTTGCAGGTGTCAAGTCCTTTCAGAGTTTCTCGATTATCAGGTGTCAAGTACTGTCAATGTTTCACGATTTTCAGTTATCAAATACTTTCCGTGTTTCACGATTTTCATGTGTCAAGTACTTAAAGTGTTTCACGATTTTCAGTTGTCAAGTACTTTCAGAGTTTCACGATTTTCAGTTGTCAAGTACTTTCAGTGTTTCCTGATTATCAGGTGTCAAGTACTTTCAGTGTTTCACGATTTTCAGTTGTCAAGTACTTTCTGAGTTTCACGATTTTCAGTTGTCAAGTACTTTCAGTCTTTCACGATTTTCAGGTGTCAAGTTCTTTAAGTGTTTCACGATTTTCAGGTGTCAAGTACTTTAAGTGTTTCACGATTTTCAGTTGTCAAGTACTTTCAGAGTTTCACGATTTTCAGTTGTCAAGTACTTTCAGTGTTTCACGATTTTCAGGTGTCAAGTACTTTAAGTGTTTCACGATTTTCAGTTGTCAAATGCATTCAGAGTTTCACGATTTGCAGTTGTCAAGTACTTTAAGTGTTTCACGATCTTCAGTTGTCAAGTACTTTCAGTGTTTCTCGATTTTCAGGTGTCAAGTACTGTCAATGTTTCACGATTTTTAGTTGTCAAGTACTTTTGTGTTTCACGATTTTCAGTTGTTAAGAACTTTCAGTGTAATAAGATTTTCAGTTGTAAAGTACTTTCAGTATTTCTCGATTTTCAGGTGCCAAGTACGTTCCATATTTCTCGATTATCAGGTGTCAAGTACTGTTAATGTTTCACGATTTTCAGTTGTCAAGTACTTTCAGTGTTTCACGATTTTCAGGTGTCAAGTTCTTTAAGTGTTTCACGATTTTCAGTTGTCAAGTACTTTAAGTGTTTCACGATTTTCAGGTGTCAAGTACTTTCAGTGTTTCACGATTTTCAGTTGTCAAGTACTTTCAGAGTTTCACGATTTTCAGTTGTCAAGTACTTTCAGTGTTTCACGATTTTCAGGTGTCAAGTACTTTCAGTGTTTCACGATTTCCAGTTGTCAAATGCATTCAGAGATTCACGATTTGCAGTTGTCAAGTACTTTAAGTGTTTCACGATCTTCAGTTGTCAAGTACTTTCAGTTTCTCGATTTTGAGGTGTCAAGTAATGTCAATGTTTCACGATTTTTAGTTGTCAAGTACTTTAGTGTTTCACGATTTTCAGTTGTTAAGAACTTTCAGTGTAATAAGATTTTCAGTTGTAAAGTACTTTCAGTATTTCTCGATTTTCTATAGAAACTATTAACTTTTAATCGAGAAATCAACCATTGACCTTCATAGTAACCACTAACTTCCAGAGTGTAAAGCCGCTAGTGAATCTTTTAATTACTAATGATTTTCTCAGCAATAACAACCTGTAAACTGTTTTACATGTGCACGATTTCAGATGCAGATATAACCTTTGTGATATCAGTAAATGATTATGACTTGATATCTGCTTTTCATTGATAGTAAACAGTGTTAATCACGGGGGAGGAACTGTTACACGATGGATGGAGTTCTTATGATAAATTGTTTGGAGTTCTTATGATGTATGTTTTGTCCATTAGAGAAAGTCACAAAGGTCACACTTGTATGTATGAAGTGAAAACACAACTCTAGTATGAATGAAAATGCCATAAAATACATAGCAAGTAAATAGGGCATTTATTAAATGCCATAAAATACATAGCAAGTAAAAAACGTTTTCACAAGAACATAACTGGGTGGAAAAAAACGCTATATACATTAAAAACAACTGAAAAGATAATAAGATTTCGTCATTACGAACAGATAAATTTGGCAATATACAAAGAAAATAATTTTTTGAACACATAAAATTACATATGTTGATCAAACAAAAATCTTGTAAAGTATCGGCTTCATTAATAACATTTAATATTGTAACATATAACATTTGAACAATGTATGTAACAAAGGCGAAAAATTCAAAATAGTTCTACACTGTAAAAATTACCTTGAAAATTAAAATGAAATGATATGAAACTTGACAATATCTTTAGAGGAGGAGGCATTGTGAGGAGGTGGTTTTCCAAAATTATTAGGATATGTTTTGCGAGCGTTTCACGCACATCAAGTAAATAAAGACTAATGGCTTGTTAATTTTGATTGGTTAATCAGACTACATGACTAAACATGGTTTGTTGATTGGCTAAAAAATTTCTACAAAAGTCTGTGCCTTAAGCCGTACTAAATTCCGTAAAACAAAATAAAATGCACAAAGACATAAAAAAATAATAAACTTCTATTTATGTTTTGTCAATTTAGAGAAAGTCACAAAAGGTCACACTTGTATGGATGAAGAGAAAACACAACTCTAGTATTTGAATGAAAATAGGGCATTTATTAAATGCCATAAAATACATTGCAAGTAAATAGGGCATTAATAAAATGCCATAAAATACATAGCAAGTGAAAAACGTTTTTACAAGAACATAACTGGGTGGAAAAAACCGCCACAAACCCCACACAAAGCGACCTAACTGTGATTTGCCTCCTAAGATGGACTAATGGCAAAAAAACCTAGTTGTAGGTTATATTAAACTAAGGCCACCATATATACAAAGACATAAAAAACTTTATGTCACCATAAACTTCTATAACTGTCACGAAGTACCCGGAAAACGTAACGGATTTCTGTAGAAAACGTTTTCTATATATTTGGAGAACTCATGTGAAAAATGGTCATTTTTACCTTTAAATGGGGAGTTTGAGGTGCTAAATTAAACTTTGATAATTGAGCTCCCCTTGCATATTGTATTATGTTTCAGAAGAACCTTTTAGTCCATTTTTAATCGCCTTTTAAAATAAAAATGTGGTAGTTTTGAGTAAAATTTCCAAATTACTTGCTCATCGGTACATATTGACCTTTTCATTTGTGACCTTCTTCGTTACTATACAATGTTTAAAATGCCTAATTATAATGCAGAGTTGCAAACATAAAGCCCATGTTAATAAATTTATAACCGATTTTTCAAATGTCACGGAGTTCTTGTGATGACTCAAAATATGTCCTTGAGTTCTTATGATTACTTTTGTTACTGCCAGTGTGTTTCTTGTGCTTCATTACGGCATATTTAAGCGTATTTTATGATTTAATACGTGTTTAGATTATCATAAAACTTAATACGCTCAGCTTTAACACAAAAATGGTTATATAATCTTAGTTTTGAGTGTGTTTTACTTCAAAAGATATGTTTCTAATTAAATTTGTGCGAATTCATATACATTATAAAACCGAACTAATTCACTAATTGTTTCTGTGTATACTGTTCGTAAACTATAGTTTTAATGTCATAAGTTTTCTTTGAAATGTTTACGCTGAATTTACAGCAACTACTGAGAAATATATAAGTAGCATAACAGACATGCATATCGTTTTTATGATGACAACGTTAAGTATATATGCGGTATATAGATTGGTGTGTAAATAATTTTGTCAAGTAAATTTTTCGGTTATTGTCATTTTTTCGGGATTCGGCAGTCAGAAAACCCCAAATCTGTAAAGCATATATTGAACATGATACTGCTTTGGTGTACAGTCTACAAAGGATAAACAAGTAATAGTCTATCTTCAGGAAAGCTTGAATCAGCGGTCACCTGTATTCAGCAATAACATGGCTTAAACCGCCAAACAAAACTTGTTAAGAACTTACACTTTTTTCTCAACGACATATTTTAAGCAACTGCCTTTCTAAGGCTGACAATATACAGTTGAGCTTCCCTCAAGAAGCGGCTTAGTAATTTGTTTCATTTTATAATATAAACAACAAGTATATAATCGGGATACCCTTCACACCCATGTACCCAAAATGTATGATCTTATTATACATAAAAAGTCAACCGATCACTACCGATCTCTTCAACAGATTTCCACGTGCCCTACGGGTTCGAGCGAAAGAAGTTCGCCAATATAGTTTTGTTATCAATTACAGCAAAAGTTGTTGTAGAGTTTCCACAACAAGGATTATACAGGGGGAATGCCCGAAGGACTCCAAATTTAATAAAAAAATTGTATGCAATAATTTTCTGCAATATACTGTAAAACACTTATTTTTTCGCGAGAACCTTATTTCGCGAATTTGAGGCAAAATGTCCAAAATAATTGTTTCGCGTCAACATGAATTCGCGTCTTCCCGAAAAAATGTGAAACCGGAAACCCGATGGCATTCGGATATTTTCTGTCCTGTCCGTTTACCAACTTTGCGTCGTTTATTTTTATTGTGCGACGAATGCATTTATATCCGTATCGATTTTTCTGATAGCTTGCTAATCTTCTTGTTAAGTGAAACCGTCTGTCTAAAAATATGTCAATAAAGTTTGATAATTATTTGATATGTGTTCACTGTGTTTGTCATGTATTGTCCATGATCATACTCCGTGCCTCTAGCATTGTTACTAGTAATGCAAAGTGTTAAAGTTTCACCGATTAGCCATTCAAAGGCAAGCAGACGAAAATCAATTAAACAGTACTGTAATTTTGCTAACCTGTAGAAAACAATTATGTTTACCCTCCGGATTGAACTGTAGTACAATACAATAGGATAAATAAATAGAAAATGTTACAAACAACTCGCAGGTGCTAAAGCATTTGTACCCAAATACCAAAACAGTTATTCTGAAACACTTGAAATAGCAACATGATGTAACTAGAACTGGCTTCGATACTTTTCCGCAGATATATATCCATGTGTACGCATTTTCGGATAGTGTTCATTTTCGGACAAGTGTATAGACAAAGTGAAATATTCGCGAGAAATATGAATTCGCGTCTTAGAAAACTCGCGAATATTAGCGAAAATAAATTTCTCGCGTATAATAAGTGTTTTACAGTACCTTTTTAAGACGCGGTCCGTTGCTATGATAAAATGACAGGAAGTACTATTTTATCGCGCATGCGCAATTTGCGTATGGCACTAAAGCCATGCCCTGCATAGAAATGAAGTAGAAATTCATAGACAATTCCGAATTTTTTAAGATAAAAATAGAAAATCATATAAAATAGCTGTTAACAGAAACACAAACGATGGCCAATAAAGGCATGGAAAAGACGATTGTTTAAGAATTCCCCCTCACTGTCACTGACCTGACATTGAGATTATTGTTGTAAAAAATATGTGGAAATATATATGTTAGCAAATAAATAAGTCAAATTAATTGTTGTTGAAGACATCCATATTAAAAAAAAATTATTACATATAATATATAACATTTTTATATAAATTTTATTAACATTTTAAATCGAGGTTAAATATCATTCTGAAAAAAGTCGGAACACGTGATATAATGCATTTTTAGTTTTCAGTTTAGCTAATTTTATCCTTTATCCAACTTGACTGAGATGCCAAACATAATTGTTTTAAGTCACATAATATATTTAAATATTTTTTCAAACTCTTGTGAAGTTAAGATGGGTGGTGGAATAACACACATTTTGTCCGGTTCCTGGTAACACATGGAAATGCACGTCACGTACACTATTTGTCACTTCATAAAATCAATAAACATTGATGAGATTGGTATAAATAAAAATTACTTAAATTACCATTAATCATTTTCATAATTTTATGTCATGGTACAAAAACGACACGGTTGAATGATATTGTTAAGTAGCTGGCAAATAACAACCGGTCACGTGTCAATCTGTTTGACACTTACCGCCTTGCCAATCAACTTTCAAAAGAATACTAATTGTGTAATATTATGTAATACATGGGTGATAAAATGTGATCTTTAGCACCCTGATGTTTTAATTATTTGAATTACTGATGAAAAAGTCACCTAATGATACCTTGAACAGAGGACTTTTGGTCGTTGAATTATAAGTCCTGCTTTTGTATATCTGTTATAAATATCAATTCACTTTTAAAGTACTAAACGCTTTAATTCATCCCAATATTTCTTTTTTCTGGGTGATATAACTTGAAATCACGCCTTTTAAAGACTTTAAGTGCGTTAAATGAATGCTATCGTTATTGCGTTTTTGCCCTACGCAGAATGCGCATGCACACGAAATGCAGCATACGTTGCTATGGAAAAATCGTAATGTAAAAAGGTCCGTATGGAGATTTCTGTACACCACGTGATGCTACATTTGATTTAAAAGTGAAAGGAACAAGGTCGATAAACGGCAATGAACCTTACGGTGACTAACATATCTCATTAAAGACCTATTTTCTATTGTCTTATCAACTTTATACGTTTCTATGACAAAAATTGAAACTTTTTAGACATCAAAATATCCGTTGAATACCTAAAAGATAACAACCCACCTCATTAAATTTAGATAAAGAAGTTAACATACTACTTCCTATTTTGCTGCAAACCATTTACATGTAATTTGTTTCGGCACCACGATAGCATAATTACTTAATGTTCTCTAAAACTGCCAAGAATAATGTATACATGAAAAAATCATGCTTGAGTATTAAATTCAAAAGCGTTTTTTATCCTGTAAGTCAATGTTCTACATCAAGTATGCTTTCAGTCATTCCAATAAAATGAAAAACAAAACAAAAAACAAACAAACACAAAAAAACTACAAAAACAGAGGAAAGAAAAATATCTCTTGAAATACACTCTTAACTGGTTCAAAATGTCAAAAAATACGGTAAAATTGCTCAGGGTCATAAGATCACACTTACCATGGAAACGAATTCTCGGACTTCATGGAAATAACGTTATGTTTATTGAAGATCCCTAGAGTTGTACATTTGGTTCGAACAGAAAGTGGCTTAAAATTTGATGATTTGACTCTGGGTGCTGTTTTTATACGCAGACGATATGGTACTATTTTTCGGATACTGTAGAAGGATTACAACAAAGTTTAGATGACTTGCTCACATACTGTAGGAGATGGGGATTAACCGTTAACATTGAAAAAACCAAAGTTATGGTTTTTTAGAAAGCGTGGACCGTTGCGTGAAAATGAAAAATGGGACTTACAATGACACAAATTTAGCTATTGTTAACAATTTCAACTATTTAGGTGTGGTGTTTGACTCAAATGGCTAATTTTAACTATAATACACAGTGCTCGTCGGCAAGGCGCTTAAAAGCTATGAACTGTTTAATGAATAATACTAAGGACTTTGATTTTACCCCAAAGACAATGCTTGAGTTGTATTTGATTCATTTGTTTCCTCAATTTTAAGTTACTCTTTCTGAAGTTTGGGGATTTACTAAAAACAAAGACATTGAAAGGCATACATCTAAAAAATTTTGCAAAAGAATTCTAAATGTAAAATTATCGTCCATTTAGTGTAGCTATATATGGAGAATTAGGACCCGATATCCATTGTAGTAACAGATAGTGTATTAAAATAGTCAAGTATTTTGTTACCAAAATCAAGTATCAAAAAATTCTAATAAATTGTCTTAAAAGTATAAGTAAATGAACTGTTATTAGAGAATTTATGTAATAATAAGATTAACTGGGTTTAAAAAGTGAAGAAAAATTATTATATGAACATGGCTTTGGATACGTGTTTGAAACACCGTTAACAGTAAATGTGAACCACTTTATATCTCTGTTCAGACAAGACTGATTGATACATTTCACACAGAATTGGAAAGTAGCGATTTAGAGATGCAATCAAATATTTACATTTATATAAACATTTAAAGGACCATATTGAATATGCTGAGTATTTGAGTATCTTAGGTAGAAAAAATTATAGATCTGTTATTACCAAGTTTAGGATATCTGCACATTGCCTTAGGATTGAAACCGGACGATATGGTCAGAATAGAATTGAAAGAGGTGAAAGAACATGCAATGTATGTCAATCCAGAGACATTGAGGATGAATTCCATATGATTTGTGTGGTGTCCCTGCTACAGACTTATAAGAAAACGTTACATGATAAATATTATTATGAAAGACCATCTATGTTTAAACTTACCCAGTTGTTATCAACCAGAAATGAAAAAATGTTGAATAATTTAGTTGTTTCCTAAATTGTGCATTAAGAATTAGGCATAATCTTTACAACAATAAATAATTAATAAATATATAATAAATAAATAAATGCTCAATTTTTGTCATGTACGTTAAGAATCTTATGTTAAATGATACTGATATATATTCTATACCTTCTTTTGTCATATGTACCACAGATATTTTCAATATTGTATTATATCATTATATTGTTTGACTTTGACATAATAATGTATAATTATGTTATGGATGAGGAGCGAAATGCTCAAATCTAAAATAAATTCATGTTCTGTTCTGTTCTGTTTAACCAAATTTTTGTGCAAATGATAATCGTACTATGGTTCATAATGATTTACACACTTATTGACTAATAAAATACGCTTAAACGTGCCTTAAATAAACACACTGGCAGTAACAAAAGTTATCATAAGAACTCCAGGACATATTTTGAATTATCACAAGAACTCCGTGACATTTGAAAAATCGGGTACCGTATAAATTAATTAGCCTGGGCTTTATGTTTGCAACTTTGCATTATAATTAGGTAATTAGGTATGGCAACGAGGAAGATCATAAATGAAAATGTTAATATGTACGAATGAATAAGTAATTTGAAAATTTTATACAAAACTACCAAAGTTTGTTAAGAAAGGCGATGAAAAATGAAATAAAATGTTTTTCAGAAACATACTACAATGTTTAGGCCAAACTTTATTATCAAAGTTTAATTTAGCACCTCAAACTCTCCATTTTAAGATAAAAATGATCATTTTGCACTTGAGTCCTTCAAATAATTTGTATACAGAAAAGTTTTCCACAGAAATCCGTAACATTTTCCAGGAACTCCGTGACAGTTATAATAAGAACTCCAAACAAGTTATCATAAGAACTCCATCCTCCGTGTAACAGTTCCTCCCCCGTGTTAATTGTCCCTTGTCATCAAGAGCCTTTATAATAAAAAGAGCCATCATGACTCTTGTTCAGTAACGTTTGTCTTTTATGTCTAATATTTTCATAAACAGATAAATTGCTGGGTCAGCATCTTCGCTAAACACTTATAAATATCATCAAACATCGAAACTTAAATGATTAAGTTATTCATTTCCGGTTTTAGATACTTGTTCGTCGAAGTTCTCCAGCTTTGAATATTCAGCAAACAATCGGCAAATTCAAAACCTGCCCTCTTGATCTAGAAGAAGAGAGAAGAATCCAGAAAGAAATAGAAAAGTGGAAGGACTATAAAGACGATGTTGACCGACTAAAACAGGAAATGACAGACGTGAAGAAAGACCTTGAAGACGTAAAAGAAAGTGATACTGCAGTGAAGAGAGACCTTGAAGACATAAAGGAAAATGTAACTGATGTGACGAGAGACGTTGAAGACATAAAGGAAAATGTAACTGATGTGACGAGAGACGTTGAAGACATAAAGGAAAATGTAACTGATGTGACGAGAGACGTTGAAGACATAAAGGAAAATGTAACTGATGTGAAGAGAGACGTTGATGAAATCAAAAGACGGCAAGGGGCAGGTTGGTTTTTTTAAGCTTTTTTTTTATGAATTCTACAATAGAAAGGCTGAGAAAAGTATATACTAGAATACTAACAAATACTATGAAACTTTTATGGATTAAAAGTGTTCATGCCAACAGCAATAATTCTATAAATCAGTGAATACAAACATGTACTTCTTTAGCGTTTTGATCCCGACGTTTCCAATTTGTGATAACAATCAACCCGTTTATTATTTCGCAAATTGCTTTGACAAACTTCATAAATCTCTGCTTGTCCGTTTGAAATGGTAGATTTCTCCCGTTTCAAGACGAATGCCATTGCCAGAAATATAAACAACGTAACAGTATTTAGGACAAACGAAAATTCTCTCTTTCGAAGATTATAATCGATTCCTTCCACTTTGCAAATATAAAACATTTAATATCTTGCGGTAAATATTAAATGTAAATCTACAATATTTCTAGGTTTTTAGTCACAATCAACTTCAAGAAAATCTGAAAATGTGCCGCAGTAACTTTCAATGTAACCGAAATTTCATAACATTTTTTGTAATTTGTCAAAAAGATACATGCACATCAATCAATCCCGTGGATGATACAAGTGATAAATAATTATTTAATAATCTTAAGATCCTTTTACTGATTTTATATGGTTTTATATCATAAATATAATGCTCAAATGAAGATTTATCAATATTGTATGTTCCAAAACTCATTATTTGTAAAGATATTACCAAATTTCTATTTCATGTTAATTTGAAATTTAGTTCCTATAAAGTCTAAGTCATTTCTTTCAATCAGATATGAATGCATATATTTTAATGATAACACATAATGAGGACAAATATTTTCTGTACATATTGTACATATTGTTCGATGTTTTTGAAAATCGTTTAAGAAGCATAATTATATACATATATAAAATTTCACTTGAGTGTAGTAACAACCTTATTTATAACATACAGGATCTTTAATAATTACAACAAAACAGAACGGTTTTTTTCTGCCTTGTGTCTAAAACATGCTTGTTAAAAGCCTTGAAATAAACTGTCAACGTTTTACACCTTAAAATTAACCATATAATCCCTTTCAACAGGAAATACTTACTCATTTATTATTAACATAAAAAACTTTTTGTTATTTAAGACGTATGTACTTAACTTGAGTGTACTTATATGATGTTACTTCATTGATAAACACCGTTCAACAGATGTTATTAGAGGCCTTTGATGCCGGAATGAATATTCAGAAGGTTTTTATGGCACTGTTGATTGACATAATGAATTATTTTCGTAAAAGAAAACAAGCAGAAACGCAAGTGTACCAAAAAAAGACAACAACAATGGCAAACAAAAATTTGTTTCGTAAGTGCCGTCCGCATGGATAATTTCATAGATGAGTTCGAGTTTTCTTCATTTTGGTAAAACATTTACAATACTGTCCGTTCACAAAACCTGATCTTTGATAACGCATAATGTACCAAAAATAATTTTAATAACTTAAAATATGGTTATATGGCAGTCTGGAGATATTCTGTCTCTTTTTCTTGTTCCTTTGTTGAAAAAAATGGTTGTTATGGCAACAAATACACTCAAAATAATGAAAATATTTTAATGAAACTTGCAATATGGATAGATGACAGTATAGAGAGTATGCACGTCATTTTTAGCTTGACTATAGGGATTATATTGAGAAGTGTCCTACTCATCAAGCGTCGGCTACCGCGTCCTGGTTTTTACAGGTTTTACTTAGTAAAATCTGTGTTTGACTATAATTTCTTTATTTCTTAAGATATTAACTTTAAACTTTGAAATATATTATGCATTAATTAATCCACATGGTGATATGTTTTGTTGTATATGTTGATGTAACGTACTTGTTTTATTATTTAAAATGATCTTAACTATAGAAAAAAGGAATACATTATTGTGAACAAAAACACCAAACACCACAATATATAGTCCGAGCACGATAAACAGAACTTTTCTTCATGTCTAAAAATAGAAGCACAGTCCATGAAAAGATAAACATGGGTAAACTTATGGTGATTAACCAAAGTATTTCCATTAAAGATATACAGATAGTATTTGAAAGACAATATAACTTCAACTGACCCTATAGCGTAGTAAGTTGAGCCACCTCTGCCAAAAGAAAATTACTTGTGGGTTCGAAACCTCGTGAAAACTTTTTCCCTTTTTTTATTCCATATTCACTGTAAAACACATAAATATCAGTTTGACAATGTACACATATGAATATATAACTGAAATAACACAAAGACAAAATGACGCAGTTTAAAAGTAAAACAAAAAACCGAGAAATCGGGTAAAAAATTTTCACTATTTACAGAAATAACCCGGGAAAAAAGTCCCGGGTTAAATAAATTGTCTCTGGCTTCAATCAAATTCCACAACAAAAATTTAAAATTTGAACCTTTGAAAATATAAAAGGAAACGGTTTTTTTGTTTTTTTTTCGGCAGAGTTGTCACGTAAAAGGTATTGTTGTCGGGGTTTTGGAAACTTTGTTAATTCAATGTAAACCCGACATTGTTACGAAGCTGAAAATTATTTTAAAAAATGAATTGGGGGAGTGTTTATTGTGTAAAAGATTAAAAAGAAATGGAAAAATCCAAGAGAATTAGACCTGTTGTTCATTTAAATTTTTCACGAAATGAGCAAGAGTATAAAAAGTGCATGGGCCGACAAGTAAAATTAAAAACAATTTGAATAAAATTTTGAAATTTTTTTATTATTTACATAATCTAAATTTTCAATTTTTTGGAAAAAAAAAAAATTGGGGAAGATACTTCCGCATTTGAAACGTAGGGGTAATAATTCTTAAAAAATTTTTTATGAAAAAACAAATTTAAAATAACAAAAAATTCCTTACTATTTCCCATAAATGGGTGAAAAAAAAACACAAAGAAAAAATTTATCTGTAAACAATTGTCAGCTTTTAACTAAAAATTTGTGGATTGTAGCTCTAACCAATTGGGGGCTTATTACGAATTCTTCTTTTAAAAACTCATTAACAATAAAGGTTAAAATCAGTCTATGCCCCTATTTACCCTTTAAACAAAATTTGCGTAACATTTAAAATATGCGAAAAGTTCTTTTTATCGTCGCTGGGAATTTACCTTTGTAATTTTCTTCGGTATTTATCCTAAAACCCTACAATTCCGAATAAGGAAGCTCACACAAAACAAAACCTTCCAATTAAGGTTAAAAATTTTTAATTTCCCCCAAAGCAGTGTTTTTTGGTTTTTAAAATTTAAATTTGGGAAGCAATTTTTCAGTGGTAAAAAAAATCCGAAAAATGAAAACTTAGACTGAGTTCCCAAAAAAAACCTTTTTAATTGTTGAGGAATAAGACGTTTTTTGATTTCAAAAATAAAATTTTAGATTTTTTTACTAATCAAGGGGGGGTCTTTTTGGAAATTTTCCTGACTTAAATTTGTAAAATTAAGATAAACAATTTGGGTAATCAAACTCTTACCCAATTTCTTCTCTGTTTTTTTTAAAATGAAGTAAAAACCGTTTACAGACGTACTTTGTCCGAAAAAAAAAAACATTGTGCGGAATGTTTTTTTATACAACCCTTTCCAAAAATTTTTTCAGCAAGGCACGTTTCCAAAGGGGTAAAATTTTGCGTGAAAAAGATACTTTTTTAAAATGTTTTTTATAAAAATACTTAAATTTGCCAGGAAGGTAAAACAACAAAAGCCCTTAAAAGCTTTACCCACACCTTTTTAATTTTGGGCCTTTTTTGGGAAAAAAAAATTTATAAATCAAAAAAAAAAAAATTTTCCCGGGAAGAATTTTAAAGGGGAGCTTTTTAAAAATAAGCGTAAAAATTTTTCTGCTGGTATCTCAGCTGGTAAGAAATTTTGGCGGGGCCATTTAAAAAAATATAGCGAAAAATGCCTGCGGGAAAATGCCCCAGCGGGGCTAAGAAAATAAAGCAGAGCTTTTCCCAAAAAATATAGGGGTTAAAAATGCTCGGGCCGGTATGTTTCCAGCTGGCAAGAAATTTCGGGGGCATTTCAAAAATATAGCGTAAAAAATGCTCTGCCGGTATTTAAAGCGGGCTAAGAATTTAGGGGGGGCTTTTTAAAAATATAGCGTAAAAATTTTTCGGGTTTATCCCCACGGGCCCTTAGCAACCCTACGCGGGGCTTTGAAAAAAAGGGGTAAAAATAAACTCGGATGCTTAGCTGGCTAGGCAATATAGCAGGGCATTCCTAAAAATATTAGGGGTTAAAAAAATGCTCAGCGGGCTAGGAAATTCCCCAGAAAAAAATTTTAAATATAGGTAAAAAATATTCTGCTGAAATCCCGAGCGGGCCCAAAGAAATTCCCTAGAAAGGGCATTTTTAAATAAAAGAGAAAAAATTCTTCGCCCTTTTCCCTCCTTCCCGCATCCTTTTTGTAATTCTTAGGGCCCGGGAAAAATTTTTTTTAATTGCAAAATTTATTTACTGGTCGCGCTGGGGCCCTGCGACTGACTTTCCTCGAAGATTTTCCGATTGGGGTAAAAAGGTTTGGATAGTTTATTTTGGGTTTTCTAGTAACCCCAAAAAGTCCTTACTTTGGTCTGAAAACTGACTATTGAGCACTCGTAGACTTTCTGAAATTTTTAGGTCCAAATGCAATAATGAAAATTTTTTTACTTTTTAGGGCCCCTAAATTTCCTTTTTTTTTGGTCGGCGACTTTTTCTGGGAATATGGCAAAAAATTTTTGGTGTTAATGCAGAAAATAAACATTTTTGGAATTTTTAAAAGAACACAAAAATTCCCCTTTTTCGGGGGTCTGCGACAAAATTCTAAAACACAATTTTGCAAGGGGCCAAAAATTTAAAGTCGCAGACCAGAAAATTTAAACCCCAGGAAGGCCCTTTTTGTATAAAACTGTCAAAATTCTAAATTTGGCCGGCCCGGGACAATTTCAAAGGGTCTGCGAGGGGTCCAGAAAAAGTCCAGACCACCAAATGGAATCTTGATTTTCTTAAAAAATTAAA